AATAGTAAAGATCAGACGATGCTATGACACGAGGTATGATATTATTAAATACTTAATATTATAATAATAATTCGAATATTGAGAAAAAAATATTATACAAATATTCATGCTGGCACACCACATCTATAATAACTTACTCCGTACTTACTACTGACACCAATCCTTACCGAATACGGGCAAACTAAACAATATTTAACACGCTTTAACATAGTACACACCACGCACTGATCCACAATTTCCGACTGCAGGCAATTAGACAACATTCGACCAAGACTGATATAAAAAATTAGCCAGAAACAGAATTAAGACTGACGAAAAAATTAAAAAGATTTGCTAGATTTAATTTAAAGAATATACATTGACCTATTGACGACTGATGACTATAAACAAAGAGGTTTAAGTTAATTGAAATTTGACCTGATGTGCTTTTTAGTTATTTGAGGTGGTAGAATAACAAATAATATAATTTTTTTAACACAACTTGAGTTGGATCTCAATTTAATTGTTATGGAATTTTTTTTTCTCTCTTTCGCGCCTCTACCCTCAAGGACTTAAATTTAACAAGGAAGTTTTTCTATTAATGGGACATCCCTTGTCCAAATTGAGGGGATTAAAAAAAAACAAAAAAAAACTTGTCATGATCATTTTATGAAAAATAATACTTGGGTGTAGTTTAAACAATGAGAAACTCTACTTTCATTATAAGAAAATTTTTGTATAGTTTGCTATGAAACAATTGCTAACTAACTAATAGTTATCTTCCTATTCAACTAAAAACGTAACTTACTTTAAAAAAAAACAAAAATCTTAAACTTCCTACTTTTCTATAGAAAATCTGATCAGGGTTTATATGTTTTTTTTTTTTTGTAGCTCTTGAAGTCTACTATCGCCTTTTTAAATAATTCCCATAGCTCACGGGACATCTTGTACTATCAGGGTGCCCCGTAAGTAGAGAGAATATTTTATATTATTATCTATTTATAAATAAAATATGTTTTTAGGTAATTATGTTTTTCACAATACATCCCATAACACGGAAAAACTATGTATAAAAGTTTGCAACAGGTACTTGTCAATTTTGCTGAAAACACTGCTTCTTTAAGAAGACTTGATAGAAAATCACACTTCTTTACACAAATGGAAGTGAATCTCAATTGTTTTCCTAATAAAACCTAACTTAGCTTTTATATACTTAAAGCTTATTAAACGAAGAAGTTTTTCTAAAAGTGGGTTTGATGTAGTACAGTTGAAGGGTGATAAAAAAAACAAATCATGAAGAATTTGACTTTTTTGTTTGTTTGTTTTTATTTATTTATTGAGTAGTACAACAATCTGTCACATGGACACTAGTTATAGTGATATAGGATAACATTCACCCTATATGTACAAAAAATATAAAATAAATAGAAGCAAAATTGTTTTTTTGTTCAATGGATTAAATTGTTTATTGATAAATATTACAATCTGTCTCAACAGCAGAAAAATAACAATAAATAATAATCAAAAAGTAATAAGTACAATAAATAAAATAAAATAAACTTAGAATCAGAAAATTAAAAATAAGCAATACACATGCATTTACAACCAGGCGAGGGAACTCCAGGAGAACCCTGCGCTACTCTCTCAACCGCCTCACTGGTACTAAAGCCAGCGGAGATTGATCGAGAGCACTTTAGCCACATGCATGCCTTGAGTGGAGAATCTGGCCATTGCCAGAACTCCAATTTATACAATCTACAAAAGGTCGTGAGGCCACTGCCGTTTCAACCTTCTTGGAGGATTATAGGGATGGGTGGTGCGTGACTTTTTTAAACGGAACGGAGCTGCGTTTTCCGGTCATTAGTCCCCTTTAAGTAGTTTTAACAATGACAAACTTTGCTTCCGTTTAAGATAAATTTTGTCTAGTTTACTATGGAGCAATGTTTAATTATATAAACCAAATATTTTTTAAGTTATCGCTTCCTATTCAACAAACAACGTGACTCGCTTAAAAAAACACTAATCTTAAATTTCTTGCTTTCCTGCTGGAAATTGGGCAATTATTTATATGAACTTTTTTGTTGATCTTGATGTCCACTATCAACCTCTTAAATATTTCCCTCTACTAACGGGACACCCTGTCTGAAAATTAGCTGTTTTTTTTCAACAGATGCCCTTTAACATTTCGTATGATTACGGGAAGCGAAGCAACTCAAAAATAAGTTACCACAAATCACTTTTTAACGACATCCCTATTTTTTTTTTCTTCTTCAGTTCCAAAATTAAAAACACTTGTTCCAGAGACATTGTAGGACCATTATTTATGAAGAAGCCCATTCAAGAGGCCCGGAGCAGGTAGACATTCTTCACAGATGACACTTTTTGTGTGTGCGTTTGTGTGAGAGAGTCGGGACGAGGAATACAGAACCACCGACTGACCCTCGGCCCACAGACCCTCGAGGGGGACAGACAGCCATTTACAATAATTACAGTAAAATTAACTCAGTAATTATGGTCTAAAATGTGAGCCCTATCACGCGACCGTGTCCTTCCATGCGGTTAATTGCACGTAAGTGTCCTAAAAGATACGATTCGTTTTATTAATTTGGATGTAAAAATAAAAATACAATGTTATAAAAAAAGTGACCAGATATCTACATGGAAAGAGTATATTATTTATTTTTATTTATATTTTATGCAATTTGCACCTGCGCGGTTGCGCATCTAGCAAATTTGTTGTGTTTGTACTGTCTTGGTGTAATTGCTTAATTTGATTTTTATTAATGTAGTAGGTCTCTTGGCCATTTTCTTCTTAACCTGCGTTGGTCAGGTAACAGGGAGCAGAAGATAGAAAGAACCAGAGAATTGGAGTGATTTTGGGTTGAAGAATGAAATGTAGTGTATTTATCGTGGATGTAGAATTTTACTGTTGGGGTGTTTAAGTCGTTACGGATAGTAGTGTTTGAAATGTACCAAGGTGCGTTAACAATTTTTCGTAAAATTTTTTATTGTGCTGTTTGTATTTTGTTTATCTGTGTTTGTTTTGCTGAACTCAAAAGTTCTGCTCCATATGTCCATCTTGGTCTCAGTAAGGTGTTGTAGATCAGTCGCCTGTTTCGTAAGTTAAGTGAAGATCTGTAGTCCAGAAGAAGTGGTTATATCGTCTAGTAAGTTCTTGTCTTTTTAATTGCGCATGTATGTTCCAAGTAAGCCTTTTGTCTAAGCAGAGTCCAAGGTACCGTACATAATTCTTTGAAGGCACTGGATTATTGGCAATCGTTATGGGTGGACATGAGGCTTTCCTAAGAGAGTATATTATAGAAATAGAAATGTCAACTTTCTGGGACAACGTCCCTTAAGAGCAGCAATATTGTTCATACAAATTAGTATTACGTCTGGCCAAAATATCAAGAGTGAACGCACCAGTTATGGACAGGTTGGACTTTAAATGTAAATAATAAGCTTCCTTTTTTATTTAAAGGTTCCAGTTTTTGCTGAACAATTGAAGAAGCTGATTGAAGAACAATGCCATCTATTGACAACTGTATGAACAAAGTTTCCAAAAGAAAATTTTAAAATGCTTATCATTGTTGTTTCTATAGTGCTGTTGAGATCAGTGTTTCATACCTTCCTACTAACAGTTTTGTTATGATTAAGTTAAACGTTTATATTATGTTATCTTTACAGTTAAATAAAGATTTTATAATTTTTCTGAGTTATGGCTATAACTGCTACAGACCCCCTGTCAATTACTAGAACAATTGAATTTGAATGAACAATTGAATTTCGGAATGTCCATCACTTGTACAAAAAGATGTAGTTTTTTTTTAAATGGAGATTATACCTGTATAACTGAATATTTTTTCAATTTTAAAGTGCTAAATAGAAAAAAAAGACGCTAGAGATTATAAATGTCCAACACTAACATTACAATATTAGTTAAGATTCATGTGCCATCAATCACTATAGTTTATTATTTATAATTAGCGGTCGTATACTATTATATCTCTGATTGTAATTTAAAAAAAAACATTTTCAGCCCTGAAGATGACCCACGTGTTTGGTTTGAAACGTTGGAAAAAAATTTTAAAAAAATTAAAAAAGACTGAATATTTAAATTTTAAAAGCGTCCTGAATATTTCTCACCCATAAATGTCCAACGTTTGTAACTATAATAATTTAGGTGGCATAAGGCAAAAAAGACAAAATTAATTATGTAGATCACTGGTGCGCTTACCCTAATACATAAAAGAATAACTTAAACTTAAGTAATATAACAGGTATATGCATAGTTTTTTGTTTTGTTTTTTCGGTTAGCACTACAGGCCATGAATATCTTTGGCCGAGAGATGTGGTCTCCTTACAGACGTATGTTGCTTGCGGGAGCTCAGATAACCTGGAGGCGGTATACATACTATGTATAGATTTAAGATACATTAATAAGAGAAAACGAGAAATAGGATCGCAATATTTCAATGTCACTGCTTAAGAAATATCAAATGAAAATAAGTAAAAAATAAAATAGAAACAATGAATTAATTTTATGAGGAAATCATTGTATTCGGCAAATAATTCAAGCTCCTGTGTTAAAGATTTAAAGTATATCAAGAGTAAATTACTCTTAACAAATAAAATTTTTATTTGAATCGCTTATTTCTAAACCCAAATCGATTTTTTGGAGATCGAGATAAATATCGATCATAGGCCCAAACTTCGGGAGAGATAAACGAGAAGGGACTAACGCTCCCCTCTCCCCAATATTTCGAAGAACTAAAATAACATCAAAATCAATGACATAAATCTACATTTTTACTGCAACATTATATATCCTTTTTATAAGTTATAATGATAATTATAAAGTTATTAGCGAAAATATATTTATACTATAAAAAAAATCTTGTTCTAAAAGCAATACAAACGCATTTATTTTTTGTGTATGGTGCGAGGCGATAACTTCTTACCGGCTCGCTAATAATCGGCAATGGAACTTCCATGTCCCAGATAATCCGGAGTACACCCCCTCAGGTACCAGATGTTGGGAGTGCCTTGGGACCCCCTCCAGTTTCGGGATTAAGTCCCAGAGAGGAGACATTATCGGCGATATGAGTAGGACCATTAACTGCGGGACAGTCTGGGGGTAATTGTGGAGACCATCTGCTGGAGTGGGCAGCTGGGAAGGAAGAGCTTTGTGCCTCTGTGCCTTGTGCCTCTGTCAGATGTGGCACACTAAATCAGGGAACCCTCTCTCTAGTTAGAGTCTTTATTGCTCTAGTCAACACGCGACTATTTGCACCTTACTGCTTTAGGCTAGACACTAGACTCAACTAATCTGGACTGTAAACAGTTTTAGACTCAATGTCGTCTTTCATAGATCCGGAATCTACATCCATAGATAAAACGATTATAAAAATTTAAATAAGTGTTAAGAATAGTTTATTTTGAAAAAACTACTCCAAGCAACTTTGCGGCAGTAATATATGTAAAGACCTAAAGCCATCTTAGGAGTCATGATGAAATAACGTCGGAAATCGAATGGGAAGAATAGTGGATGCTCAACTAACGATTATTATTTATTTGTTACCATATCAGCAACGGTTTCTTATTCTAGTTCAAGAAGTGTCCGAACCAAGAAGTGACCACGAAAGGAAGAACAGATATTACCTAGGATAGATAAAATATCTAGGAGTCATGTTTGGTTGTGGGCTAGCAAACGTTTAGTAAGAAAATCTACATTTGGCTATATAAGAAGGCATTGCAATGATTTTAATGAACCAGCGGCTTTGTTTCAATTACATCATACGGCCGCTAATCGAATATTGTTCGATTATGTGGTATCCGAATTCGAATAAAACGGGCAATAATTTTTTAAAAGCAAAAAAATTGAAATCTTTATATCTTAGAGGTTATGAAATACATCCTGAAAGAGGTCTACGTCTTATATATTTTTTAAATATCTTTGGGGTAAAGCATTCCATAGCCCAATGTTGCAAAATAGCAAGGAATTTGACTAAATTAGTAAAAAGAAATGTATTGATAATAGTTCCACATTGAATAAATTAAATTTTAGATTCTCTCCGCTGGCTTTCAATGCCAGTGAAATGGTTGAACAAGAAGCGCAGGGATCTCCTGAAGCCTTGCTTTCCCTCCACATGTGGGGGGATAAGTATGGTTCGGAGTTCCTATGGCCGACTGTAAATAGTGTAATAGGTATGCCTGCGTCTAAGATGTTTATTTTATTACTTTTTTTTCAGTTTTTTTGAAACTTGAACTTTTTTTTGTTACGACTTTTCAAGTAAAGGTTTTACAGAACTTTTATTTATAAAAAATGACTTTTATTCACGGCTACTCAGACAAACGACGCATGTAAATCATTTACGACAAATTATAACTCTAAGACCAATTATCGTTTATTTTTTGTACAACGGATTTTTTTTTAAGAACTTGAATAACAAAAACGTTACATCTTTTTACTTAAGACCTTTCTTTCTAGAAAGGTTTTACAGAAACTGTTAAAATGGAACTTTTTTCCATCAAAGTTTCAACCTCCGGTTTAAGAACACTACGTAATAAAATTGAAAAAATACAATTTATCACAAGTGACGCTAATGTCATATTGGATATTTTTAATTGTACCTTAATAAGAAATATTAGAGATTTTCAATGATTAGATGAAAACCAGTGGTGGACTTTACATGTTCAAATAGTACTAATTATTGGTCTGACTTTACTTCTTGTACAGCAGCCCTGATGAAGGCATGAACTTCGGTCCGAAACGTCGGCGAATGTAAAAATAAATAAAATTATTTATTTTTTACCATTTCAATTTGACTGAACACCCCAACCATCCTTCTCTTCAAGTACTAATCATAGTTTTTCGTGATAAAGTGGAAATTTACAACGTTTTTCCAACAGTAGTTCAAGCTGCCGGAACGAGCTCTTATTATTAAAGAAGTATTGTAAGGTAATAATTCTTAGAAAATGTTATAAGGAATAATAATCAAAGAATAATGCTTTAATTGATGCTTCAACTATGAACCGAAATGGCAATCATTACAGCAAAATCATTGGGATTCAAAGGAGACGTCCTCTGAAAGAAAATTTTAATTTATGGAATAATTTTATAGTACTTCTTTCATTATTATAGTAAAGCCGGGAGGACTATCGAAAAAAAAAAGGTGATAATGAAACAGGTGGATAAGGCCACAGATTATTGAAGGACATTATAACCATGGAATGATTGAGACATTGGAGAGGGTATTCAAGAAGGCTTGTTCACCTGGAGGAAACTCCAGGGGTAGATGAGGGTTCCTTGGACAGGGAAATAGAAGTTGTGGAATTTATGGACAATCTTGGGCTGGAAGTAAAGGGCGTTATGTGTTGGCTAAGGCTGGAGAATGTTATCGTCTTAATGAAGTTACCCACCCACAATAGCTCGTTGACTTTATAGCTCAACTCCTTTTATCATCAATATTAAGGTAGTAATAAAACTTATGCAACTATTATATTGATAATAAAAATAAGAAACTTATAGAAGCAGATAGAAATATAAACGAGCGGCTTTGGTAAGTTCTGATCTACTAGTTTTAGGTTTAAGTTCTATTTCAACGTCTATACTATTTCGTTATAAAATAAAACCTATGGAATAAGCTGTCGTTGAAGTATACTCTTGCCTGGGAATAAAATTCTTAAGCAAAAGAAGTGGAGGGATTAGGACAAAAATCTATACTGGGAGTAGCTTCACTTCAACCTTCTTGATCCCTGAAAATGTCATCCAATATTTCGCTATCATTTACCAAATGACACAGGCGCAGAAGTTTCACCTCAGGTTGGAGAGTGGGAGGAAAGAGCGATGGACAACCCCCCCAAATAATCTAGGGGATTTATATTATTTTTAAAAATTGTGAGTGATAATCAACATAATCATTGTAAATCGAATAACATATTACTACATATAAAAATAAATTTATATCTATGTTCTTTTTTTTGCGCATATGGGGTATGGGTATATTTGAAAATATGTTAACAATGAAATGGATTACTTTTAATATTTGTGTTTACATATTTCCAAAGTGGTAACGCTTGGGTAAAGTCGTGTTATGGATTAAATTATCTCAGAAACTAAAAATTGGACCTGCATACTGTAAGCGAGGGGATTGTTCACCATTTCATCTTCTCTGTAATGGGCTATTATTCAAAAGCGTATCTTAGCGCGACGCCACACAGTGGGACGAGTAAGGGAAAACTCGCGATATCGCCTAAATCTTTTTTTTTTTTTTTTTGCAATTAAGCTATTGCAACAATTTATTAAAAACAGTGATGTATATTTTACAAACTGAAAATATTCTCGAAAACTCCACGAACATGAGGTATCAATAAAACAGTTTATCTGGTTTTTGAAACTCTAAAAAAAAAAAAAAAAAAAATAGCTTTAGATAAATTCAAATAGATATCGCGAGTTTTCTTTTAATCGCCCCACTGTACGCCGTGTTAGAAAGACGAAATGGAAAAAATGATGTCAAATACAAATTATAACGAGTTAATTATAAAGATTTGGATTAAAATATCTCATTATCTAAAAATCGGACCTGCATACTGTAAGAAAGAGAAATGAACTTCATCATCTTCATAATGAGCTATTATTTATAATTTATATTTCATATTATTAATCTCGCCATGTTGATGTTTCCTCTTTTATCGCTTGGTCTAAAACACACACCTTAGTTTATTATTATTATTATTTTTCATGACGGTATCCATCCTAAATGACGTAGTGTTCTTGCATCTTAAACATATTGCTAGATTGTTAGAGGAGTTATCTATAAATAATGTACCATGTTGTGGTAGTCGGACGCCTTTAGCTGTATTGAAATTATGAATTTCGTTTGGGTTTTGAATTTATATATATATTTATGCATGTATATAGGGTGTCCCATACTTAAAAAGAAATGTTTAAAAAGTTGCTAGTAGACATCAAGATATACAAAAAAGTTCATATAAACAACTGCCCAATTTTTTGCAGAAAAGTAGGAAATTTAAAATTTGTGTTTTTTTATCTTAAAAAACAATATCACTTAAATAATAATTTAACAATTTCATTTAAGTACTTAAACATTGCTCCATAGTAAACAAGATAAAATTTACTTTAAACGAAAGTAGAGTTTGTCATTGTTAAAATTATTTAAAGAGGAGAACTATGGAGCGGACAAACACAGCAAAGTTTAAAAAAAAGTCTTAAATTATTTGTGATTATATTTTCTCCCCCTTCGACTACTAGATTTACTCTACTTTTAAAAAAAACTTCTACTTAAACTTCTAACTATATTAATTAAGTTGAGATTTATTAGAAAATGTTCGAGATTCACCTCAAGTTATGTAAATAATTATATGATTTTCTATCCTGTCACCTAAAAGTACCCATCTACTATTTTTTCGTGTTATGGGATGTGTTGTAATAAACATAATTGCCTCAAAACATATTTTATTTATAAATAAAAATTTTAAAATAACGAATTTTCAAGTAAAGTGGTTATAAAACTGTGTTTTTTTTCCAGATCTCTGTCATAGGAATTGATTGTTATTTTTCGGTGACAAATTTAATGTTTCTTACTAAAATGTATGTTTAAAATAAATAAACCTAGTGATTGTTTTAATTATTTTCATTAAAACGTAAATATTAGGGCTAGGAACATTAAGTTTGTCACTTATAAATGCGCATTAATTGTTATGACAGAAATCTGGCAGAAAAAGCACAATTTCATGTCTAACTTACAAGAAAAATATTTGAAAAATTCGTTATTTTTAATTTTTTTATTTTTATAAATAAAATGTACTTATAGGCAATTATTTTGATTACACTACATCCTATATTACGAAAAAAAAACACAAGATAGCTTTGGAATAGTTAATTGTAATAATTTTTGCTGAAAAGACGGGTACTTTTATGAGACAGAGCAGAAAATCATTTATTTCCACAACTTGAGTTGAATCTCAACATTTTCCTAATAAACCTCAACTTAATTATTATGGATTTAAAGCTAGTGAAAGTAGAAAGTTTTTTAAAAGTGGGGTAATTATAGTACAGTTGAAGGTTGATAAATACAAATCATAGATAATTTATGACTTTTTTATACGGAACTTTGCTGAGTTTTTCCGCTCAATAGACCTATTTTTAATGGTTTTAACTCTACTTTTATAAGAAGTAAATTTTGTCTAGTTTACCATAGAGC